CCTCACAGGACTCTGCTCATCTTCAGCACAGCCAACTACAGCTGATCTTGAATCATAAATTTAATCTTGACTAGCGCCAATACGATGTTAATATTGTAGCGGCAAGTTATGAACTTAAATTGACAAAGCCAATGGCTTTCGGCAAATTAGAGTTCTAATCAATTTGGTATATTATTTTAAAGTCTCTTCATCTGGCAAGAAATCATGAGAAGTTGCATCTGCAACAGCAGATGATTCTTCCCCGCATCCATTGCTTATCCCTCTATAGTCCATTCGATTTTAAGTGATCTGCTTTATGTTAAATGCTGTTTGAACCCTCTGTAGCTATTAACTTGGTCAAATCTGGAACTGTAGAGCCAACTACACGTGTTTCTATAGTTAGTTAATGCTGCTGCTGCTGCTGTTGCCGCTCGTGCTGCTGCTGCTGAAGTGGTTACGTCTATTGATTCGTTGGCTGATGCTACACTTGATCTTTTAAATCATTTTCTTTGTTCTGTTTGTATACAAATAAAATAAAGAAAAATAGATATAATTTTCTGTTATATTGAATGCTTTTCAAATTACCTTTTCATTAAATTTGCTCAATTGATCGTCGATAACCGTAATTTTTTGCTTGAATTGCAGCCAATTGTTACTCATTGTAGCGACATGCGAAGTTATATTTTGAAAGCGATCCAAAAGGTCTTCCAACTTTGTCTAAAAAAAATAAATTTAAAATAAATAAGTAAAGATTAATGAACTGAAGAACAGTTAAGCAAATTATGCTTACTTTATATTCCATTATCTCGCCATGCAGTATGTTAATTGTTTGGCTTAACGTATTATTGACAGAAACAATTTGGTTATTCACATTCTTCAATGTATTTTCCATAGATTCTTTGAATTGGCCAATATCCTTTGTATAATTTGCCGATGAAGAAGAATTCGCTTGAATGGTGGACAATTGACTTATATTGCCCTAAAAATTAGAATATTTTATAATAAAAATAAATGAGTAATAATATTTTTGGTAAGTTACCTTCATAATATCCGTTTCAAGTTTAAGGCTTTTCTGATCATCGACGTAATTATTGAGGTGTTTCTTCACCACTTCCATATCGGTGACAACTGCTTCTAATTTGGCTCCAAAGTCAGCAACAATCTTTTGATCCTGGCCATAGTTCCGTTGTGCGTTTACGGTTGCTTGGAGGCTGCTTAAATTGCTTCCTAATAATTCAACGCTTTGACTCAAATCATTCAATTGATATATAATCAAAGACTGATTTTTTATAAGCAACGATGTCGTCTCATGCCACTGTTGAAGTGTATCCGGAAATACTTTGCTTACGGCCGAAACTATTTGAAATTATACATAAAATAAATTTAATAATATACTTATAAGAATATGTAAATACATATGATCAACAAATTAGAGTGCAATAGCTATATTTTAAATTCATTAAATAGCTAAATTTTTGATTTATTAGATCCTAAGACCACACGTGCGTATAATTTTTTAATCAACTGTATAAACATGAAAGGGAAATTAAAATTTCAAGTGCTTCTCACCTTCTTCAAATTTTTGTTGATAATCGGAGATTTGCTGTCGCAAATCGAAGTATATCCAATATAAAATGGACACAAAAAAGACTGTTGCAATGCCGAAGAGCGCGGGTCCACACTTGCGAATATAAATTTGCTTCTTGTTATTTCGTCGAATGCTCGCAGCATTCATCTAAATCAAAACAAAGGCGCATGACATATGAGCATACACACATGCATAACATTTAAATAGTTAGCCATAAAAATACAATTAGATAAGGTTTAATAACTAAGATAATCAGTGATATATTTAAGTGTATTACCCATGCGAAATCATCAAGGTCATCGGTTGAGACTGAAAGCAATTTATCCTGTGAATTTATTGTACGGTGGGAGCCTCTTTTTGTCAGGGAGTGCGCAACCAGAGCATCAAGCTCTTTCCTTTTCTTCATTTTTTTTCCTCCACCGGAACGTAGAGGAACTTCAATAAAGTGATTGCAGTCCATGCTACAATATTTATGTACAA